TTTGCTCGAGGAGCGAGGTTCGACAAATGGATTGTTCTCGTATTACAAGACGGTGGCCGAGGGGACTTTGGAGGCTCTAGTGATCCCAATTTGAAGTCTACTGTTGAGGGTCTGGTCCGGATGTGCAACAAGAGTGGCATGAACGTCAGTTTTGGGCCCCAGGATCCCATTTATGTTACTGTTCAGCTTCCTCCAAAAAAGGCCTCTGATTCGGTTCGAGCAGAGGCTGTTGGAAAGCTTCACACCACTCTGCGCGGCTTGCCGGGAAAGCCCTCATTCGCCTTGGTTATGTTGTCCAACAATGACAAACACATCTACTCTGGCCTAAAGCATGTCTGTGATGTCGGATTGGGAATAGCCACTGTATGTGTTCAGTCCTCGATGGTTTCTAAACGTGAGTGTTTATTTTGGTACCCGCCTCTGCAATTGTTTAATCTCGATCTTCTTCCAGAAAACCCACAGTATTATGGGAATGTTGCGCTCAAGATCAACATGAAGATGGGCGGAGTCAAGTATATTCATTGTTTTTATCAGCGATACCCGGCACTCATCAACCCTTATTCTAGCCATAGTTTGGACGCTCGAAGCATGCAGTCGCTGAACCAACACAAGACGATGCTTGTTGGTATTGACGTTACGTATGGGGTATATCTTTCATTGACTTATTCTCATTAACGCGTATTGTCAGGCATCCTGGACCAAGCAGTATCAAGGGTACCCCCTCTATCGCCGCCGTGGTAGCTAGCGTCGACTCTAAATTCGGTCAGTATTCTACCAGCATGGAACTTCAAGAATCCAAGAAAGAGGTGTGTCCGTCTACGTTTACATCCACTATCAAGCGCTAAGGCTTGACCCTTTATTAGATGGTCACCAACCTCGCCAGCATGATGGTCGAGCGGCTGAATGCGTTTAGGAAAAACAACGGCAGTTCTTTACCTGACAGAATCATAGTGTACCGAGACGGAGTGTCCGAGGTGAGTCATGGTCTAACCTCTTCTAAAATCACTTCAACTAATCCTTTTTCGGTGTAGGGTCAATTTAACACTGTCGTCTCAGAGGAAATGCCAGCGATTCAAGCCGCTTTCAGGAAATTTACTTCGCCCAAGGCCCAGTACAATCCCAAGCTGACCATTGTGATTTGCGGGAAACGACATCACACTCGATTCTACCCCATGGAAGCCGCGAATGCTGATAACAACGGGAACCCAAAGCCCGGAACCGTCGTCGACCAAGGAGTTACATCCGTGTACAACTTTGACTTCTTCTACAAGGTATGTTTTGCATATGGTATTTCTTGTCACTCTTAATGACATACTTTAAAGCGCATGGTGGACTCCAGGGAACGACCCGGCCCACGCACTACTACGTCGTCCATGACGAGATTGGGTTCAAAGCCGACGAACTTCAAACGCTCACCAACTCTGTCAGCTACATGTTCTCTCGCGCCACCAAGGCGGTTAGTCTGGCATCCCCGGCCTTTTACGCAGACTTGGCTTGCGAGCGGGGGCGGTGCTATATCCACAAGTTGCTTCAAGGGATTACTAACGTTAACACCAATTCGACCAATGCTGAGGAGCAGGTTTTCCAAGAGGCTGTGGAACTGTGGCGAGGAGGGGTTCATCAGCATCTCAGAGACACGATGTTCTACCTTTGAGTTGGGCGGTATGGTTATTATTTTGTTGCTTGCATGTATTTTTACGATATCTTTTCCTATTTACACCTATCTATGTAGTTCTTGCCTACATATCTTTTCCTATCTACTACCTATATAGTACGTTTGTAGTACGTTCATTGATTTGCTTGTAACTATGTACACATAGATGCTATTTATTGCAATTGCAATTGTTGCACCAACGGTTAGCGACGCAGTGACAATCTCAAACCAGTGGCAACAAACGAAACACGAGCAAGAGAAAAACATGTTCCATTTGAAGACGATAAAAATACAGGTTTATTTTATTATAGACGGTACAAATACGAGTTGGTTGCTGGAACCGGAAAGCGTTAAGGTTGAAATTTCTAAGCTAATGTGGTGCGTGATTCAAAAATGCAATCTTCAAGGAAGCGTAAGAGGCAATTTAGTTAGCTTCCTTCTTGTCGATGGCAGACTGAGCTACAGCTGCAACCGTACCGGCGGTCGAATCCAATCTACGAAGAGGAAAAAGTTAGCGATCGATGTCGGATGATGCCATGGATACTTACAATTTCGTTTCCAACGATTGCAGCTTCTTCTGCTCCTCCTCTGACATATTATCAACGTCAACTTGTGGGGGTGAGTTAGATCGAGAGCGCCTCTCAGAGCTGCAATTAGACAAAGTAAGTCCACTATTACCCAAATCAATAGCACGAAAATGACTTACGAAATGCGAGCAGCGTCCTTAATGGCGGCCTCAGTCAAGATCTGAGTATCAATCTTGCTCTCGAGCTTTCCTTCAGGGTGCTTCGCAGCGGCAGCTTGTGCGTCAGCAGCCAACGAGCCAGGAGGAGGGCGATACCCGAGCGCTTTGTGTTCCTCGGACATGAGCTTGCGGGCTTCGGCTGTAGTATCAAGACAAATTAGAGTTGTAAAGCATCGTTGCGAGAGGAAATTGTACCTTCGCTGATGCTCGCCAAGTCAATCCCGTCGACAACAGTGCTCTTGGGAATAGGGTGACCTCGTTCGCTCTCGATCTTGGCAGCATCGCTCAGCGCAGCTTTCTTCAACTCGATAGGATCAGGTGGAGCGGGCCCGCCCTGGGGATGCTTTGCGGCCTCTGCTTGGGCCTGCGAAGCCAGCGAGCCGGGAGGAGGACGGTAGCCGAGTGCTTTGTGTTCGTACGACATTATCTTCCTAGCCTCTACTTCGCCAATGGATTTCAGATCGATAGAGCCGCTGTAACGGTGAAAATGTCAGAGCGAGTTCGCCACGTAGAAAATAAATCATGGATTTACACAAAACGCGCGGCGTCGTGAACGGCAACCTCAGTCATCGTGGCTGTAGAGGACATGATTTCTAATAGCAGAAAGACGAGAGAGTATGGAAATAAAAAAGTTGGTGGTGGTGGTTTGAGTTCAAGTAATTGGGGAGTCTGGTCGCCCGCAGCCTCTATTTATCTACCCTCTAATCACGTCATTAGTCAAATAATGCGCGGAAACAACTGTGGAGTTGTGGAGCTTCCCCCACAACGAGGGTGATGACAACAGTGACTGCGCTTTACGTGTCCTGTGACAGTACGCGTCTCGAGCCTCGAAGCGCCAAGCGATAGCAACAAGGAAATAGCGAATTATCAATGCTTTACTATTAGAGCTGGAAGAACATTTACTGGGACTGCAGATTCGACAAAGAAAAAAGCTCACAACTTGTAATTGACTTTTTCGGATCAAGCGTTGGAGCAGCACAGCGGGATTTGCCTGGGACACGCCGTTAATTATCGTATATCATGTCAGAGTGTGTATAGAAGATACTCGGAAGAGGAGCAAGGAGGAGCAATACTATTCAATGAGCTAAGCGAGGTAGCCGCTGCGCATGAGATCGGTTATCCAAGTTTATCCTTTCCGATATCTCTTGTTGAGAATGGTTATTTTAGGAATTTCAGACGCGATTCAAGACTCAAGCTTGAGACTTTCCAAGTCCGATGACCTTGAAGGAGTTCCTTTGCTTGAAAATCTATTTTTTGCGGTACGGGAAGAGCATCTCTTTCATGCGGTCGTGCGCGGCGCAACAAGTCCGTGGAGACAAATTGGAGTACTATGGGGAAAAATGAAGTGGGGGTTATCAACTGTTATCAGTAGAGGCTCCAAATCGATTTGGTAGCAACGAATGCCAGCTGTTCGGATGTTCGGATAGAGAGCCATCATAGAGGAGTAGCTTTATCTTGCTACTGTAGTTAACTGTAGTACGTTTTGGTTAACCCGAGAGCTATGTACCGGGAGGATTCAAGGGTTCATTTATGACCAATAAAGTTTAAGAAGAGCGACCTATGTGATTCGAGGGTTCAATCGATGGTTCAATAAGTTTAAAGACCGTCGAGCGACAGTTACAATGTCTCGGTGGGGCTGCGCTGGCAGATCATACATCCTAGTCAATATGGTTGCGTCCCCAGATTTTCACGTTGTATTTGAGCTGTAATCGTATCAAGGTTCGGGGCTCCTTCAAGATACGAATACAAAATTGAGGCCTTGGAATTAAGATGGAAATGGAAATCAAGGTTGTAGCAGTGACCTCTTGAGTGATTTAAATTGCGAGCAAGGATATTCGTACGTATGCGACGATGGATTGTTGTCATGCGGTCGAGTAGATCGTCTCGACAGTAGACATATGCGGAACAATGGCGCTTTCGTAGTGCCTGACTTACTGGATTTGCTCGTCAGACATTCTCCAGATACCTTCTGTGTCTTGGATCGCCAATTGCATTTAAAGGTTTTAATGGATGGTCTATACCTTTGCTACGACTACGACTTGATGAACAAAGGATGAAGTTTAATTCGAACTCCATGATGGTAGTAGGGTCGAAACTTGTCAGTTCTCGTGTGTTAGGAAACGCTGTGCACTCACCTCACGAATTCTGCAGCGTCGTTTCGGGTAAAGGTTGGGGCGTTAACATCAACTTGACGATGAAGAGTCTCGCTGAACAACGGAAACCTGAATCTCAGCGATAGCTGAGGGTGTGTCCGCAGAGAAGATTTGTATTCTTGTAGATTGGATAATATTAGAGAAGCTAGTTTCTTCGATTGACGAACCGGAGAGTCCATGTCAGTCTTTTTAAGAAAATCGTATCTTCACCTTTGTAGCACGCAACGAAGAAGAACTCCTGCCAGTGCTATGCCTCGAGAAATCATTCCAAAGAATAACCATTGACGAGCCTAGCCGCATTCCGGGCCACACATTAGGCTACAGTTCTAAGCTTGAAAAAGTGCGCCTGGACGTTCACTTTGAGCTTACAGCGTCGCGTCGAGCTGAGCAGTATTGTGCTTGTCGAAGACAACTGGTAGCAAAAGCAAGTTTGAAAATTTGATAATGTGGTTCGATGGCGTAGTTGGTTATCGCATCTGTCTAACATCGAAATATGCTCAATCTTACACAGAAGGTCCCCGGTTCGAGCCCGGGTCGAATCATAGCAAGTGAATGCTTTCGTCTTTTTGCTCTCAAGTCAGATGTTTTAGATCAGCTTTGTGGAGCTTTGTGGTCACAGCTAATAACGTTCTGCCATCTCGTCCTCGAGCCGCGAAAAAACGAACCATGACCTAGGTTTGCTCGGGAAGACGTTCGAGAGGCATAAGTAGTCTAAATTCCTCACTACCTGAATACATATATACATAGAAACATACGCATAGGCTTTGAATTCTCTCCAAGTTTCAACACCATAATCACTGTTCTGCCATGGTCGATTCGAAAACGACGTCCCCAAAACTCGTGCGTCGTAGTAGTGTAGTACTGCATGAAGAGAAGTGTACTGAACCCTGACCACATGCAATGTGCCGGAGATATTGACTCGGAGGTACATTCAAGCGAAGGTGCATATGAGATGACAATGTTCCTTGACAGCTAGGAGCATGATACCTTCGCCTTCATAACGCATGACGAAAGGCCTCGAGTGATCGTTCCGAGTACACCATCGACGAGCCTGAGTAGCTCCACCGGCCACACGTTGAGGCACTAGGCATCCCATCCATCCCATCTTGAACAAAAGCACGCCTGCGCGCGGCCTACAGACACTGACATCTTCCCCATCCCCACGGATCCATATCCATCCATGAACTAGGAGACAGCACTACAGCAAAGTACTGCACAAACTCGTCGAAAGAACATGGATCCACAACCATCTCTGAGCATCCGCGCTCGTTCGAATCTGCATCCAAGTCCAAGTCCATGCGAGCATCTGTCAGGGCTAGGTCAACGTCCATGAAATCTTCCTGCAAGTCGTCCCATTGACTTCGTCGAGAAGCGGCAAATCGACCTGGACGACGGCTACTTCCTGGCCCATCATGATTTCGTTCTTCAAGTCGCCTGCGTTTGTCGAAGAAATGGCGATGGAGGTAAACCCCGCCGGAGCGAGCTGTGCCATTGGCACTTGGGGCTGAAGAAGTGAAATGAAATGAAATTTTCATCTCAGCTAAACGCTTCCGCATCCAGGAAAGTAGGGCAACGTACCAAAAATGCTTGAGCGGTTCCGATATGCGAAAGTTTATCAAAGACTGTCGTCCAGCTGCGAGTAGTGAGACTCAGTCTCCATGCTGGTTTGGGTTTGGAGTGGCTCAGCCATCCGAATACCAGTGTTTGAGGCAAATCCAGTGACCGATCATGTTGAATTAGAGGATTAGGGCTTGCGGGGGGATGGATAGACAGAGTGCCAGCGACTCGATAGAAGAGAGGAAAGGAAGAGAAAACGAGAGAGAAAACTTGGACGGAGAGAGAGAAGACTTTACGTTTAGGGTCAGCCTGCTATCGTCGCAGATAAATGTTCAATTCTTTGAAGATTATTCTCGTTCAAACCGACTTTGTCTTGTCTTTGTCCAATGCCAACGAGGCCAGTGAAGAAAGGGATTCGAATTTCGGCGATAGCTCCGGAAAGTTGGACAAAGGGAAGAGTCAGGGTTTATCCCCAGTGAACTTCGACTGGTCGGAAACGGGCACGGTCTGGCAGGATTGAGCGGAAAGGAGCTGAAATGAGCGTACAAACAGGTAGTTAAACCAAATTGACGGAAAATTCTAACAATCAAGTAGCGCTAGAGTTTTTCGGAAGTCGCCGGAATCCCTAATCGCGTGATTCCGTTACATTTGTGACTTCACACTCTTTCTCCCATACCACCACCATCTCCTCGTTCTGCGACGTGAAATTATCCTCAAACGGCAGCGACAGAGCTGGCATCTACGTTTTGACAACTTTTTCAGTCATCAGATGGCTTGATCGCGTTATCGGCTGTCCTCAAGATGCTCACTTTACAGCTTTGACCGAAATTCGACGATTCTGGGGGAAAAAAGTGCCTAACTTTACTTTTAATGATGATTTGACTGACTTTAATGCTCTTTAGTACTCTATATATTGCGAATCTTTTGACCACTCCAGTTTTTCTCATGCTCTGATAGTCTCGAGTGCATTTTATATCCTCAATTTACTCACTTCGCCTTCCTCCATGTTGATGCAGCAGGATGAATGAGCTGTAGGGAATGAGTAGATGGCATGACAAGACTTCTGTATAGTGCGTGACAGATGTCTGCCTCTAATTATCATTGGACTTACTGAGCTTTCTGAAAGCCTGTCAATGCGTGCAAATTGGTCAATGCTGGAAGGCATGTTGACCGGTCTCACTTCCTCTTCCAGTGCCTTTGCTGATCTTGTCTCAGCATTTGACGTCGATGGGGTGGGTTGGACAAGCTATATTAGTAGTACTAGTGTATTACCTGAGTAGTAGTAGTGTGACTAGCTCGTTTGACCCATTTGAGCTCATTTGCGCTCGAGCGAGCCTGATTTGGATGCAAATGATATTACAACCTGGTGAACCCGGGTTACCTTACCAGCTGCGCTCATTTAGGCTCGACTGAGCTCGAAACCAAGTTCATTTGGGTATTGCACCAAAATCACTTAAATTTTCACGCTCGGAAAACGAGCAAAGCGGACATTTTGAGCGAATGCGAGCTGATATTAAACAGTACCCATTCTAACTCGTTTTCAGCTCGATTGGCTCATTTCCGCACGGTCGATGTTCACTGGGTTTATCATTATGGGAGAACGGAATAGATTGCAATGAGAGTCGGTTAAATACAAGGCTGGAGCCTAGCTTAGCCTAGAGAATCGGTAATGAGACACTCTAGCAGATGGTAGAGGAGAATAAGCGCGCGCTCTTCTACGCTGTTCACCAAATATTATTTCACACGTTTCTTGTCCTCAACCACGACAAAACTTGTAAGGGCAAACATCCTATAGTCTATCAAGGGTGCCTTCCTGCATACATGGATCTACCGGGACCACTAAATCGACATCGATGTACCCTCGTGTTCGATGCGATCATCCGATCGAGAAACACTTGAGAGCTGGTACCAATCTTGTACTACCACTACAAGTTACAAGCAAAATAACAAGTTGATTAATCAACTGTTCCTTGCTGGAAGTTCCAGAATACATAATGATATATTTGTGGAGAAGCTTCGCCGCTACCACGTTTTCTTTGTGGCCTTTGTTCATCCTGACATACATAAAGGTGCGATTTTTTTTTTGGCTGTGCTCCACCTGCCCTCATCTGGGAGATATTCCTGCAGGAGATCCGCGGTCGGCCCACTACGCTCGCTGACCTTGCAATCAACCACTTGTCAGCCCACACGCTGCAACGGCTATATAAGCTCGTATTGCTTGCCTCTAGCCTCACTCAGAATGTTCCACACCCTACGAACTCTTTGGCGTTCACGAGACAATGATGTGGAAGCTAATAGAGGAGATGACCATCTTACAAGCCCCCCATCTCGGCCCAATCATCCCAAACTCCAGCTGAATACGAGCATTATTGGTCCTCCAATACCACGTTCCCCTCACTCTATTACTGGTATTGATGGATACGAAGGTCAATGGCATCCGAGTCCCAACGGCTCCGCTCGCTCTGCACCTTCGAACATTGCCTGGCTCAGGCAGCATAATCCTCCATATGGCCCTGATCAACCTTCTCGACCTCCTGCTGCGAGACTTGGAATGATGGTTCGCCATACGGTGTCGATACCTCTGAGTCGCTCGTTATCATCTCCAGCGTCATCGTCATTGCACGCTCATCCAGCTCCAAGACTTGGTATGCACTCACAGCGCGCTGGAAGCACTCATTCGCTACATACCAGCACGCTTTACGGAGATGCTTACGATTATCCTCTCGTCAAACCGCTTTCGCCTATTGTGGAGCAGGATTATTTTTCACCGGACTCATTGACACAGTCCATCCAACTGCCACCTGCCTCTGCGACTAGCGCACCTAGTACAGCACGCTCCCTTTCGACTCGTGATCGTACGTGTGTTTATTTCAATACAGTATACTGTATCATACACACTAACGAAAACTGCGTAGGACCTTCCCCAGTGCATTCCATACCTTTCATTACACGGCCCGTTAACCGCAGTCTCTCGCAGAGCACGCAACGATCTGGCCATTCTACGTCGTCTTCTACAGTCGCGCCAAGTCCACATCAAGAGAGCGATGAAGCTCCTCTTCCGTTTCGTCCGGGAAAGTCATCCAATTTACTCGTGGCCATGCCCACTATCCCAGCAGGGAGTTCCGAAGAGTATGATAACGGAAATGACCCCGCAGAAAGCTCAGACGCGGGTGATGCAGGAGACACGGAATCCGTACGCGCCGAGAGCTTCGTTACGGCGAATGAGAATGAAGCAGCAGCGAGTCCCAGTGGTGTAATCCCTTCGATACACGAGCTTCCATCGCCTCCACCTCCCACCCATCCCCCGGTTACCAAACCACACGAAGTTCTGCCTGTGGAATTCACGGATACCGAGGTATCCATGATCCGTTCGGATGGTACCAGTGCCAGCCTACTTTCAACGCGATCACCACCATCTGCCTCGGAATCCTTCATTCGGCGTCGATGGGATAAGGACGCTGCCTACCCTTCAGTAGCATTCAAACTCAAGGCCAAGCGGCAGTGCTTTTGCACCGATACCACACCTGCTTTTTGGGCCTTTTGGCTTGGCATCTTTTTCCCTGTCCTCTTATTCGTCGGAGGTTGGCATTTTACGCATTTTGGAGAACAGCCTGAACGGTTAACGTTTTGGGAGTTTTATTTCAATGCGGCGTATTGGAAGGAGGTGTTTTGCTGTGGACGGGGAAAGTTGAGGTGGGAAAATGCTGGGGAGTCGGGTGTTACTACGAGCAAGGGGAAAGGGAAGGAGAAGGAAACGTACAAGAAGGAGAAGAAGACTCGACATCCTCCGCCACTGCCAAGGTGGATTACAGAGAAGCAAAGTACGGATGTGAAGAAGGCTAGATTAAATGACGCTAAACGGTCATTGCGAGGTATATCCTTTGGCTATCCCTTCGTCCCCAGACCCGTGGTCTATCTCGATCCGAATCCTTCCAGGACTACCGCGACAAGAAGAGCTATGCAACGAATCCTGTTGGTTTTATCC